CCCAAGGGCAGAGTCGATGTGGGACTGGATGGAACCAGGGCAAGCCGATAAGTTATGTGCTACCCTGGCATCGCGATGGGCCAGGCCAAGGTGCCACGATTCTTAACTATAAGTTAAGAGGCTGATCATAGGCAAATGATGTCATGATCCAAAAGTAACGACGAGACTAGGGCCCTGCTGCTAGAAATAGGAAAGATATCTGGCCTGAGCACTGCAGTCTGAGATCGAGATGGCCCTAGGAGAGCAATTCTATAAGCTCAAAGTATTTCTTACTGTGTCCATACAAAATGATTAATATTATGTATGCTTATATGTTGGTTGGACAAGGAGAGGAGAAACACGTCCTAGAAGCAGTTTTCCTTTGTGTCCTGACTAGCTTGGATGAGACTGAACTTTCTCCCCTTCAAACTGCCTTCAGTAAATGATTTCAGTATATTGAGGTAAGTAAGTAAGTAAAGGCCCGCCCATTTGCTCCAGCAGGCCAGTAACGTCTCCATTGGAGACTTTGTTGTTACTGTGTCTGGCATATCGAATACTCTCGGTAGCTTGCCGGGCTCTCCGAGAGGGGCGGAGGAATCGAACTCGGGTCGGCCATGCTGGCTGCGTGCAAGGCAAACGCCCCTAGCCGCTGTGCTAGTTTCTCTTATCTCACAGGAACCTAGCTGGCCTTGGGTATACAGATCCCAGGTGCTAAGCCAGGCCTGATCTTTGGGATGTAGATGCCTGGCTCCAGGCTGGCTGATTTTGGAGATGTAGATTCCAGGCTCTAGCAGACTGGTCTTTGTTATGCTAATCTAAGTGTTTGTAGCTTGTAGAAAGGTGAGGCCAGGATTACTGCGGATGTAAAGAAACTATGTATGTTTTGCCTCAGTGTTCTTTCTGTAACTCCTTTTGATGACATCACTATATTGCGCCCTTTAGAGGTACTATGATCTATATAAGGGAGATTTCAGGGCTCTCTGGGGGGACACGTGCATCAGAGAACCTGGGAAGATGGGGCTGAGGACAGAAGCTGAGAGAACAAAGGTGCACGTGCTTGAGGATTCCTGAGGCCTCCATGACATACATCTCTTCCATGTAATAAACGGCTGCTAAGACCAACCAGCTTGGCCTCGTTTCCTTCCTTTGCCTGACCATCGCCATCGACCTCCGTGGAGTGGGGAAACGGCCTGACCGCCGGCCTTTTTATTTTTTGTGTGTTTACACACTTTCATACTGGCTAAGTCCTCCCAGCTAGTAGTACTCCTTTACTACAGTGAAGATGACAGGAAGGTGACAACGGGAAATGACTCAAGTTGGGCCACAACTTTTACCTGTCAGCTAGACTGACAGCACATTTCCAGTTTTTACTGAAAGTATTACTAGCTCTCAGAGCTCATTTCTGAGCACCCACCATGTGCCAGGGACCACTTCACAGGATTTCCTATAAAACATGACCTAAAAAATTCCCTCTGTATACACACATTCTTAGCTGGTCATTCTGTATTCCCTACAATCATTAAAACTCACAGCTGGGGCTGGAGTGATAGCACAGCGGGAAGGGCGTTTGCCTTGCACGTAGCCGACCCGGGTTCAATTCCCAGCATCCCATAGGGTCCCCTGAGCACCACCAGGGATAATTCCTGAGTGCAGAGCCAGGAGTGACCCCTGTGCATCGCCGGATGTGACCCAAAAAGCAAAATAAAAAACCAAAAAACTCACATCTTCTCAATCTTGACTGCAAATAATGAGAAGTCAACTTTGTTATGTATAAACTATCACTTGTAGACAGATACAAACAATGTGGAGATCTTTCTTATTATAACTCTACCTAAGCAGTATCATCTACCTAAATAAAGAGATTCCACTTTGGTACTTCCTCTTCCTTACACTTCTACACCTCTCCAAATGAACTTTTCACAATCTGTTGTAACTATTCATGAGCTATTTCTCTCTTTGGGTTTTACTTTCTTTTTTTTTTTTTTTTGAGGGGGACCACACCCAGTGATGCTCAGGGGTTATTCCTGGCTCTGAACTCAGGAATTACTCCTGGTGGGCACAGGATACCATATGGAGTACCAGGAACTGAACCCAGGTCAGCCACTTGCAAGGCAAATACCCTACCCACTGTACTACTACTCCAGCCTCTCATTCTCTTAAAAAAAAGTTTTGGGCTGGGATAATAATTCAATAGGGCTAAACACTGAGTGCATGGCTTGCATATGAGAATCCCAGGTTCAGTCCCCAGCACACCAGGAACAGATCCCAAACAATGTGGTAGGGAGAAGTCCCCGAGAAACAACAGGTGTACCTCCCCCCCACCAAAAAAAAAAAAAAACCACACACACATATATACTGTGTGTATATATATATGTGTGTGTGTACATATATATACACACACTATGTGTATATATACACATATATACTCTTAGAAAATATATGTGTGCCAACAAGATAGTATAGAGACCAAGGTGCATGCCTTGTATCTCTCAGACCCTGGGTTGAATCCTAGATACCACATATGGTCCCCCAAGCATCACCAGAGCACAGAGCCAGGTAAAACTCCTGAGCACCACCAGGTATGACCCCCCCCCAAAAAAAAAGACAAGAAAGCACATATATATACATGTATATGAATATGGACATATATACAGATAGTATCTATGCAGCAGACACAATTCTGACCACAGTGAATTCTTACATTAGGATTAGGGAGACAATGAATCTTATCAGGTACTATGAGAGCTTCATAAAAAAGTCCAGATTTTAGAAGAACAGAGTAGGAGGACCCCATTTCTGAGGTAAGCTCTCTCTGGTAATGTTTAATCAGAGATCTGGGGCCTTCAGAATTAAGTATCTACATGAGAGCAAAACTTAATTCTGACCATTACTGAGAATTCTGGTAACTATAGGTTATTCACTATCAGCTACCTTTTTTATGAAAGTCTGATGAAAGTCTGAGATTTGAGAATTAAGAAACTGAACTCTTCCCAAAACAATTAACAATTCACAAGTTTAATATTTTCAAAGTAGTCATTGTGCCTATTTCAGTGAAATATGCATTGGGTAATCAATGACTATAGTATACATAGTACTGTAGCACCGTCCTTCTGTTGTTCATCGTTTTGCTCAAGCGGGCCGAGTAACGTCTCCATTGTGAGACTTGTTGTTACTGTGTTTGGCATATTGAATATGTCACGGGGAGCTTGCCAGGCTCTCTGAGAGGGGCGGAGGAATTGATCCTGGGTCGCCGGGCCGGACGTGTGCAAGGCAAATGCCCTACCGCTGTGCTATCGCTCCAGCCCCTTTCAATATACTAAAATTATTTACTGAAGGCAGTTTGAAGGGGAAAAGATGTTCAACCTCATCTAAACCAGTCAGGACACACGAGAAATCTCACCCATTTTCATGGGTCCCTATGTTTCTGCCCACTGTACGGCACAGTCTACATGGGCTCACCCTGATGGCTCAGTTCAGCCCCAACATCTCCCCCTTTTTGTTTATGACAGATCTTAGCGGGTAGGGCGTTTGCCTTGCACGCAGCCAACATGGCCGACCCGAGTTCGATTCCTCCGCCCCTCTCGGAGAGCCCGGCAAGCTACCGAGAGTATTCGATATGCCAGACACAGTAACAACAAAGTCTCCAATGGAGACGTTACTGGGCCCGCTCGAGCAAATCGACGATCAACGGGAGGGCCTTTACCTTTACCTTTACCTTAACCATCATAACAATTTAAACTGCCTTCCCTTATTGGGTTTTAACTCTGAATCCCTTAACCTTAAAATAAAATGCTAGGCACAAAATGGCCAATAGCAAGAGCAGAACACCTATTCTCACAGATCTTCCCAGCAGTCCCTTAAATTAAAAGAATTTAAATCACCAGAAAGGCTTTGCCATATTTCTGAAAACCCAATTCCAGAAAGAGTTATTACAGGTACCATGAATTTACAAATCCAGTATTCTAGCTATTACTACCTTACGCATTAAGAGATGTTTTTTAACCTCGTTCCATGAAAATTCAGTCACATTATATAGCACAGATGTTATACAGAATAAAGCAGTATTCCAATCATATTTTAAAGACATCTGACAGCGGAGACTCGATGACTATTCACCAAGCAAAGTAACAGTTCAAGCAACATCAGCCAATAGACTATAGAATATAGAAGCAATAATTTTACTATGTATGCATCAGCCATATATTCTTGTAAGAGAAAGTTATACAAGAACATAGTATCAATAAAGTAAGAAGCCCGAGAGACAGTATAGGCCGTGTCTTACACATGGCCAACCAGGTTCGATGCCCAGCACTCATATGGTCTCCCAAACCATGCCAGGAGTAATCCCTGAGCACAGAGCCAGAAGTCAGCCTTGAGCACCACTGGGTGTGGCCCAAAAACCAAAAACAATTAAAAAAAATCAATAAACGATATTGCTTTTTACTTCTTAAACTTTGCTAAGACTGCATGTATTAAATGTACAAGTCAGGGAAAATAAACTATTGTATCATAGCATTTTCATTTGATTAACAATATTGGGAAATAAAACTATAATATTCTTCTTGCTAAAACATTAGTTCAACATACTCATCTGAAATATCAAAAGCAAAGACACTTCATAACTAACAGCTACAAAATTCCCCTTCTAAAAGTAACTAAAAATCTGAGAGGTTTGGGACCAAGCAGTAGTACAGCAGGTAGGGAACCTGCCTTGCATGTGGCTGACCCAGATTTGATCCCTGCAACCCCATCTGGCCACCCACACCTTGCCAGGTACAATCCCTGAGCACAGAACCAGGAGTAAACTCTGAGAACTGCAAGGTATAGCAAAAAAAATTAAAAATAAAAATAAAATCACTCACTTGTCAAAAAAATATAAGAACTAATGATGTCATAACATACAGCTGTGCATGAGGCATCTTCCCCATTCTACGAAACCTTTCAGTTCAGATTTCCCCTTCAAAGTCCCTCCTGGCATCTTAATGTCACTGTCTTCTGTTCTCTGTCCCATATGTTCTTACCTTCAGCAGGTCCTTGCAGCTGTCAAACCCAATGTCCACAAGAATGCTTTTCACCTTTTTCCGTACCTTCCTGATGTTGTCAAGATTTTCCACAGGAATTTGAAACATTTTTGAAATTTTCCTTCAAAGAGAGTAAGACAAAGCTCTAATAAGTATGTATATTTTTAAAAAGATTATTTTGGAAGGGTGGAGAGATATATGGGGGAGCCGGGTCCAACCCTCAGCACTGCAGGGTCCCCAACCCCCAGCAATGAACCTGCAACAGTGCCAAGTGTGGTCAAAAAAAAAAAAAACCTCCGAAACAAAATACAAAAAATATCGGATTGCTAAAACAGTATGAGTGATTTTTTTTTCTTTTTGGGTCACACCCAGCGATGCTCAGAGGTTACTCCTGGCTCTTCATTCAGGAATCACTCCTGGCGGTGCTGGGGGACCATATGGGATGCTGGGGATAGAACCTGGTTGGCCACATGCAAGGCAAATGCCCTACCCACTGTGCTATCGCTCTGGCCCCACTATGAGTAATTTTCAACAAACTATGCTGACAAATAGATAGCCAGAGGCATTAAAATTAGTTGATTTCTTTCCTTAAGTAAAGGTAAAGGTAAAGGCCCTCCCGTTGATCGTCGATTTGCTCGAGCGGGCCCAGTAACGTCTCCATTGGAGACTTTGTTGTTACTGTGTCTGGCATATCGAATACTCTCGGTAGCTTGCCGGGCTCTCCGAGAGGGTTCCTTGTATTCCTTAAGTAATGTATATAAAATTAATCCTAAATGCAAATATATTTTCAGTAAGAGTTAAAACTTTAAAACTCCCTTAGAAGAGCCTACAGACATAAATAAACATGGATTCTTATATAACACTCCCAAAAGCTTCAGAAACAACAAAAAGTACTAAGTTCAACCTACAAAATCAGCTGGTAAATGTGGTCTAGCCTTAGGGTATCTGGCATTAAATGGAAGAAGTACTAAAAGAGGCCATAATGTGGAGAACCATGGGGAACATTCTGTTAAGAGAAAGAACCAACACACCGAGGACCATAAACTGTATGATTCTACTTATATGAAGAGTCAGAAGGGATAAATCTAGAGAGTAAAACAGTAGTGTAGCTGCCTGGGTGAACTGGCATGTATTAGCTAAGGGAAAAGGATCTTCTTTTAGGAATAATAAAAATGCTAAAAAATCTAAAAGATGATATGTACACAACACCGTGGCAGGGCCAGAGCCATAGTATAGCGGGTAGGGCATTCACCATGCACGTGGCAACCCAGGTTTAATTCCTGGCATCCCACAAGTGGTACCCCCAGCACCACAAGGAATAACTCCTGAGCAACTCCAGATGTGGCCTAAAAACAAACCCTCAAAAAAAGTGTATGCAACTCTGAAATCATTCAGTTGTAGATTTTAAGTATGTTTTATGATATATAAATCACATTTTGGGGAGAGCCACACCTGGCAGTGGCAAAGCACAGGGGACCTTATGGGGTGCCAGGAATCAAATCCAGGTCAGCTGTATGCAAGGCAAATAGCTTACCTGCTCTACTATCACTCTAGCCCCTCACATCTTTTTTTGTTTGTGTTTTGGGGGGTCACACCTAGTTGTTGCTCAGAAACCATTCGTGGTGAGGCCTAATAACCATATGCAGTGCTGGAAAATTGAACCTGGTGAGCTGTGTCCAAAACAAGCATCTTATCCACTACACTCTCTCTCTGGTCCAAGTAAATTACATCTTAATAAAATTCTTAAATTAACTGAAAAGAGGGGTTGGAACGATAGCACAGTGGGTCAGTGGGTAGAGCTTTTGCTTTGCACGCAGCCAACCAAAGTTTGATTCCCAGCATCCCATATGGTCCCCCAAGCACCGCCAGGAGTAATTCCTGAGTGCCGAGCCAGGAGTAACCCCTGCGCATCGCCAGGTGTGACCCAAAAAGCAAATAAATAAATAAATAACTGGAAAGAGGGACTGGAGAGATAGCACTCCCAGGTTTTATCCCTGGCACCCCACATGATCCTCCAAGCACTGCCAGGAGTCATTCCTGAATACAGAGCCAGGAGTAACCCCTGAGCACTGCTAGGTGTGGCACAAAAACAGAAAATAAAACAAGCAAAAAACCCTAAAAGGCATAGGATTAAAATAAACCCTATGGCATCTGACTGGAGTAAAAGAAAGAGGTGACTATTTTTAATATACAGCAAAATAAAGCTATATGCTGCAACTGAGTACATAAAAACCAACACATACTGTAAACATAGGGACTTAGGTATAATAACCTTAAATTTTTTTTTAATATTGTAAATATCCCCTAAAAACCAGTTAGCAGTAACATACCCTATAAAGCCCAACTTTCATTTTCTAAATACCATCTCCCATTAAAGGGAACCAGGTTTCTTTGGACAAATGACTGATTATAGGTCTGGGCCATAGACAAAATGAAAACAAGATAAGACTAAAACATCTCATGCCAGAAAGTAAGTTGCTCAAAGAACAGTGAGACATGCCAAAAGGCATAATAGTTTGTCAACTTCAACAAGGTCCCACAGCCAAAACTGTAATAATTTGGGCATTAAATACTAGTACTATCAAATTATAACCTGTAACAAATGAAATTTTCCATAGATAATGCACTAACTCCCATTCCATACTCTTAAAGATAGCCTTGAGAGCCAGAATGATAGTACAGCAAGTGGGAAGGACACTTGCCTTGCCCTCAACCAACCCAGGTTTGATCCTTGGCACCCCATAAGGTCCCCCACACCACACCAGGAATGATCCCTGAGCACAGAGTGAAGACTAGATCTGAGCACTGCCAGGTGTGCCCCCCCCCAAAAAAAATAAAACCTGATACTCTTCCCACAAAAGATGGGGGAAACCTAGTGAAATAAATGCCAAGTGCTGCCAAGATTAGACCACAAAAAGGCCACTCTCATCAGCCTGCTCTGTGGACCAGTTCTCTTGAACCTGACGCCCCAGGGTGAGGAAGTTCACTGGGACACAGAGAGGCGCCACAAAGATCCCACATCATCCACCAGTCAGAATTATAAAGAACTCCTCAGGCCCTGAGCTGTCAAGCACCTGCTGCCTTCCACTCTCCTCAGATGAGCTCCAAGATACTGCCCAACAGAAACAAGTCTCTCCCTGCTCCCACCTGAATCCTGACGGAAAAAGACCTGTACGTGGACTGTTTCCTTTCACAAGGTTCTGGGGTAGGTCTGGCGTCTGGCAATAACATCCTGGGGCCAGAGCCATAGTGAGCAGGTAGCGCATTTGCCTTGCACGCAGACCACCCAGGAGTAACCCCTGAGCACTGCCAGGAAGCAAAATAATAACACAATGTATAACCCACCAGAACATAAACTTAAGTCATAGTAACATAGCTTACTTAAAAAATTGAAAGCTGGTGAGGAGCGAGGTATTTATGTTTTTTTATCAATCTCCCCCAATTCCTAATAACCAGGGAGAAAAAAAAAAAGTAATTTCACAGAACTCCAGCAGGTATGAACAAAGACACCATTCAAAAAAATTAACCAAAAATACTAGTGTCCAGATAGTACAAAATATCACTGGTAACAGCCAAAACACGAAATATCATTACTTGGTGACTGAATAACAAAGGATAGTGTATCCACATTAGAATACTGCTTGGTGACATTAAAAAAAAAAAAAAGTAGGTATTCATGCAATCTGCAATAAGAATCCCAAATACACTATGCTAAGTGAAAAAAAGCTGTCATCATACTGATTCCATTTACATGAAATGTTCAGGAAAGACAAATGTACAGAAACAGGAGGAATATTGGTTAGTGGTGGAAGCCACGATGGGCAGATTTTGGGGTGGGGGGGGATGCAAGAACTGTTCCACTGGACAATGCTGTAGATTAACTTAAAATCAATTGTGGCTGGAGGACAGATCAAAGGGCTGAATCACATTCATGAACAAGGCCACGAGTTTTATCCCTGTCAAAGCCTGCCCCATCCCAGCACAGTCGGTTACGGTGCCAGTGTTCCCCAGCCCTGTTTGTGAGCCCCCCAAAAAACTTAATGTGTACCATACACTTGAAAGGAAAAAAGGCCATGAAAGGAAAAAATTTAATGGTGCTCCAGACATAAAGAGACTGAAGGATATACAAAATTCCAGGCTATGCTTTTACCATGAATGTTATTATTGAAAATGGCAACACTGCATTTCCTAACTTTGATGGTTATGTTCTAGATATGTAGAAAAAATGTTAAATGTAGGATACAGACAATATATAAGGTAACAACACAGCATCTTTTTTCTTTTTTTGGCTTTTTGGGTCATACCCGGCGATGCACAGGGGTTACTTCTGGCTTTGCACTCAAGAATTACTCCTAGCGGTGCTCAGGGGACCCTACAGGATGCTGAGAATTGAACCCAGGTCGGCCATGTGCAAGGCAAACGCCCTACCCACTGTACTATCACTCCAGCCCTGGTAATGTAGCATCTTACTCGGCAATTTTCAAATGATTCAGAAAAAAAGTTCTTTGTACTATACTTGCAAAATCTCTAATAAATCTGAAACTCTTTCAGAGAGAAAATTTCATTTTAAATTTTTGGGATTTTAGGGGTCACACCTGGTAGAGATGGGAAGAAAAATTTTCAGGCAGTGTTGAGGGCTGGGGAGGACTGAACCCAGAGTTTTTACAGGCAAACCATTGTGTTCTAGTCCTTTAAACTATCTCCCTTTTTTCCCAAGGGAAAATTCTAATGGTCTAAGCTAGAAAATCTAAAATCAAGTAAGGAGTCAAAAAGATAGTACAGCCGGGAAGGTGTTTGCCTTACACATGGCCAACCTGGGTTCAATTCCCAACCCTGCAAGGAATGATCCCTGAGCACAGAACCAGGAGAAAGCCCTAAGTATTGCAAAGTGTGGCCTAAAATTTAAAAAGAAAGGAAAACTAAAAACAATGATACTCAAACTAAAGAAAAATGAGGAAAAAATGGATGACAACTGACCCAAGAAACATTTACAACTGATAACCACTACTAGTGGGGTAATTAGAAAAAACATTAATTTGAACATGTTTAAAGGGAAATTTGGAAATATCTTCCAAGATTTTTGTGATTATTTTAAGAGCCAGATATTGTACCTCTACTATGCCCTCCCCCAAGGATAAATGTTTTCCCTCCTAGAATCCTGTGGTGATTAGGGTCAGTGTCTGTCACTGCACTCATCTCACCACACTGCAACCACCTATTTCTATGTCTGCCCATGGAACTGAACTTTCTTAGGGCAGGAGGTATGATTTACTTGAATGTCAAGACCAATCACAGTGCATAATACATAGCAAACATTCATACAATGAACAGAAGAAATAAAAGAATCATGGGGCATGTAAAAAATGCTATAAAGTCTGTCACTGTCCAGTCACTGTCCTCCCGTTGTTCATCGATTTGCTCGAGCGGGCCCAGTAACGTCTCTATTGTGAGACTTCTTGTTACTGTGTTTGGCATACTGAATACTCTCGGTAGCTTGCCAAGCTCTCCAAGAGGAGTGGAGGAATCGAACCCGGCTCGGCCAGCTGGCTGCACATAAGGCAAACGCCCTACCGCTGTGCTACTGGATGTGAGGGCATGTAAAAAATGCTATAAAGTCAAAAGGAAAAATTATCAAAGACTGAAGGACGGAGTTCAAAACAACTCATATGATCAGTATCATAAATGACAGAGTCTAAAGGGAAAGTAAGTGAAACAGGGAGACAGAATCACAAAGTGAGGTAATAAATTATGGGAGGGTAGGAAGGACATAAATCTTTTAGAAGCTGATCGGAAACAAGTTTTCAGGGAAGTTGCCTATATGAAAAGCCTATCTTTGGATGGGGGGGGGGAATCATCTAGCACTATCAGACGGGGGAAGTAGAAAAATCATAAGCACTGTCCTCCCGTTCTTCATGGATTTGCTGGAGCGGGCAGCAGTAATGTCTCCATTGTGAGACTTCTTGTCACTGTTTTTGACATACCGAGTACACCACGGGGCGCTTGCCAGGCTCTGCCGAGCGGTCATGATACTCTCGGTAGCTTGCTGGCCTCTCCGAGAAGGATGGAGGAATCCAATCTGGGCTGGCCGCATGCAAGGCAAACACCCTACCCACTGTGCTATCCGTCCGGTCCAGACACAAATACAAAAAAATATAGCTGACTACATCTTCATGATAATGGTGCCGACTGTACAAAATATACTTATGAAAAGTTAAAACAAAAAATCGTAAGAAATAAAGTAAAAGAATAAATCAAAAACCAAATGTGGTGGGCTGGCTTCTCGCCTTCAAAGGCAGGCTCAAACTGGGGAGCTGTCAAGAATCTCATGACGCATTTCCAAAAACTAAACGCAAGGTCATCTTCAAGCCCAGGCTGGCTTCGGTGGCCAGCGCAAGCCTCAACAGAACCGCGGTGCCTGAGTTCCACTAACAGGCCTGCTTTTATTTCCTCCTCAAGTCCCACTGGCATCTCCCTCCTTGGAGCTCTTCTTTCCCCAACACCGCCCCTGAACAGACCGGGCAGGGGGAACCGTCATTCGCAGGTGAGCGACAAGGAAGCGCAGCTCACTGCCTGCGAGGAGCATCAGGCCTTGCCCAGCAGGCGCTGACCTCCAGGGTCTGAGGAGCAGGCGTGCAGGGCCGCGGGCGTGCCCGGCGAAGCGGCAACACTGACAGCCGTTCGGCTGACGGGAACTCACTTCGGCCACGGTCGTCCACTCCAGGACGCAAGACCCACACCGGCATCCGAGGGCTGACGAGGACAGAGACTGTTCGGTGTTCCGCGTTCGGGAGTCCTTTACTGGGGTTATTTGTCACCTGTTCTTAGAACTCCATTAAGACTGTCCCCAGGGCTGGGCGTTTGCCTCGCACGAGGCCGACCCGGGTTCGAATCCCGGCATCCCAGAGGGTCCCCTGAGCACCAACAGGAGTGATTCCTGAGTGCAGAGCCAGGAGCAGCCCCTGTGCATCGCGGACGTGACCCAAAAAGAAAAAAAAAACTGGACCCCTGCCACTCCGAAAAGGCACGCTGCCACCAACACGCTACCTATCGCCCTCAGTCCACACGGGATCGCCTTGACGGGGGACGACCACGCTCCACTCGTGCACAAGGACCCGTTTCCCGAGCGCTCGGAAGGGGTCTTCGGCCCCTCTTCCGAACCACCGCCATCGAGGGTCCCGTCAGGGAAAAGCCCCGCTCCAGGGGCTGGTCCACTCGGGCCTCGGACACGGGCCGCCCTGGGGCACAGGCCTGGGGCGCCGCCGCCCGGTCACCGCCCTCTCGGGGCTCAGTTCGGCCCCGCTGCCCCCCGCGGGCTGCGAGGGAGGGAGGCCGAGTCCGGTGCCGCACCCGAGCCTCCGCGGCCGCCGGGGCGCGGGCCGGCACGGACCCCCCTCCCCGGCGGCAGCGACGCGCCGAGGCTCCGGCGGGAAGGGCGCTCGCGGGTTCGACCCCGGCGCGCCCGGGCGCACCCGGCCCGAGACGCCCGGGCGGGCCCCGAGCCCCCGCGCGCTCGACGGCAGCGCCGACAGGTGCGAGGCGGCCGGGCCGCGCCGCGCCGCGCCCACCCACGCCCCGCACGCCGCGGCCCGCGCCTCGCCCCCGGCGCGCTGCCCGGGCCCCGCGCCGCCCCCGCGCCGCCCCGCGGCCGCACAAAGGCCCGCGCCGCGCGGCACCTGCGCGCCCGGACTCGGCGGGCGCGGCGGGAAGTTCGGCCCGGCGCGGCCCCGCGGCTCCCGGGCCGCCCCGCCCGCGCCCGCGCCCACCGCACACGTGACCCGCCCGACGGCGCCCGGCGGGCCGCGAACCCGGCGCTCGAAGGTCGCGGCGCGGGCGGGGGCGGGGCGCGCGGGGCGGGGCCGCGGGCCGCGCGGGCCGGGGTCGGCCGGGCCGGGGGCGTCGCCGCGGGCGCCGAGCGCTTACCTGCCGCGCGCCCGAGGCGCCGCCGCGTCGCCGCCGCCTCTCGCCGCCCACCGGCCGCGGCCACGCTCCGCCCGCCGGCGAGACCCCCGCGTCGGCGCGCCCACCGCGCGACCCCAGCCCTCCTCCCAGCGAGACCAGAAAGAGAAAATGGCGCTCGGTGGGCCTCCGGAAGTGACGACGCCCTCATTTGCATGCCAGTGCAGTCAGCCAATGAGGGCAGAGTGTGCAAGGGCCCCCTAGGCACCGCCCCCTGGCCCCTGGGGCCCTGGCCTCCGGCGGGCCTGGGAACCCCGTGGTGAGAGGCCCCTCCCAGAGCCCCCTAGCCCCCAATAGACTGGCCCTCGAGCCTCTCTCCAACCCCTCCAAACTCTCGTGAGAGTTTGAGCTGTGGTGACGTCATTAAGGAGGCGGGGAGAGGGCGCCCAGCCACGTGACCATCACGTGGGCTTCAGACAGCTTTGCCTTCATTTGCATGAGGCAGGGGCGGAGCTACTGGCAGCTGCAGGATCACTGGCCCCGCCCCCGGCCTACAGCCAATAGGAAGCCAGCTGTGAAGAGAATCCTGCCCTGCCATTGGGAAGAAGGACTGGGCCTACCAGGACTTGGACGAGGGTGCCCTTGATTGACACCTCTTGGTTGGACGGTCTGGGTAGGGTCTCCTGCTGCCTAGTTCTTTCCTGAGAAGACCACACCTTTCCTTGAGGATTCTGGTTCCTAAATGAGAGCCAACCGTGTGTTGCATGGGAGTGAGTGAAGTGCACACGTTTGTAAGACTCTCCACCACCTTGCAAGTTCGCTTTTCCCCCACTTGTTTTCATTGTGAAGCCACCCTACGACGCTCCTCACCGTGAATGAGCACATGGCAGAGGAGCCTTCAAAATGGCAGGCTCCTCTGTCCACCCGGGCCTGCCTGGAGGCCGAGGCCTGTGCGCCGTGTCGTCTGTGGGCCTGCCCGCCCCCCAGCGACCCGCCTCCAGGCCCCTGCCCTGGTTGCACTGGCCCTCGCGCCCAGGACCCTGGGCCTTCCCCTTGCACTCTCCGCACCGCCGGCTCCCTTGATTCGGGTCAGTGGTGACAAACAGGACAGACAGGAAATGAACGCTTGAGTTGGTTCTAAGTCGGTGCCCAAAGACAGGTAGACGCGAGCTGGCCACGAGGGCCTTGCACTGCAAGAAGCCAAGGTGCAACTGAAGGCCCTCGGCCCTGGTGGGGAACAGGGCGGGCGGGCTCCACGGCGGGAGGGCGTGCAGGGCAGCCGGTCCAGACGAGGCTCGCGGAAGCCAGGGCCGTCCTCCTGCTCACTGGCCCCAGCCCCGCCCCTCTGCCCCCATACCGTGTCCTTCGTGGAATTCCTTCCATGGTCTCTGTTCGAGGGTCCTCTATGGCAGGTCTCTGCTGGCCTCTGTAGCAGACCCCACCATGAGCACACTCAGGCACACCAGGAGGGTGTGTCCGTGCTCTTGGTCTTTCCAGACCTCTGTGTGTGTGTGTGTGTGTGTGTGTGTACACGCCAAGTTCTGCTGTGGTCTGCTACTGAGCCTCAGTGAGTGCTCTGCCCAGAGACACCATGTCTCATCATCATTGCATCCCTCATGCCTAGGCTACTTTAGTAGAAATACTTTCAATGGATGTGATAAACCGTAGAAGAACTGAGTTAAGTTTTTCCCCAACAAATTTGGAAACATTTCTAATAATTAAACACCATCATTTTAGTCTTAGCATTATCACTTCCTTAATTTGATTTGTCCTCTAGTTATACAATTACTCATCCCTTGGTCCATCAAAAAATCAGACATATGAGTACACCACAGCCCTAAACACTTCAACATGTATATCCTGACAGTGACGGTTAACAACACAATCAACAGCTTGAACGTGAGCAGAAGTGTCCACAGAAGGAGCAGCATGACCCAGTGGACTCAGGGCCCGCATTTTCAAAGACTCTACAAAGTGCAAGACAATGGTGGTCACTGAACATCAAAAACTGGACAGTAGGACTTTCTGCTGGGCAAGTCACAGCACAAACACTTAATTCTGCTTCTCAGCCAACTTGGGCATGGGTACAATGACAGATACTTTCATTCTAAAGTTAAAATGTTTGCTGAACTTACCCCAGCTTCTCGTCTACCATCCCCTATAATCAGACTCAGCATTTGAGAGTAAAGAGTGTAATGTAGGTTGCCAAAGAACAAAAAAAAATATCTTAAACTGGCCCCATAGCCCTACGTATCTGCCCACAAGCACCTTTGTACACATTGGGAAAGTGGGAAGCCCTCCAAATCCTGAGTGCTCCAGTTCCCTGATGAAAGTACCTCTGTTCAGTACTCCTGAGAGAAAAAGAGTCCTTTCTCTGGGCATGCCCCACCCCAGCACCAGGACACTGATTTGGTGAGCAGATGAGGCTAGATTCTGCTTCTGTCTCTAGTATGCATGACTAGTTCATGTATGTATGAGTAGTCTGACTAGTTGACACACAAAGAGACAATTGTGCATGCCCATCTACAATAAATCAATTGCCAAGATTAATTTAAAACTTCTGTTGAACAAGGAAATGGTTCCTTGTTCCTTTGTGAATAACTCACATGTAACCTAGTTCTTCTTGATTTTGTTCAATATATGTTTTGTATGAGTACTAAATAACAAGGAGATGGTGATGAACAGAAAGCAAGCAGAAACAGTCCTACCTTGAGATTAGATTTCAATGTGGGAATAACATCTTTAGTGAAATAACTGCACAATGAAATTTTAGCTGGAGAAGGAGGTAAAGGCTTCTGAAGTGAAATTCTCCAAGGTTCTATATATACTTGTCCAAAATGGCAGTCTTGAGAGACAAGTAGTCAGACAAAAGTAGTTAGAGGCAGTCAATATGAATCCAGCCAGCAGAATGGCCTCTGCAAAGGCTGTCCTGGAGGAGTGGTGTGGCTGAAATGACCAGGAAACCAGAATGGCTGGTGTACAGGGTCAGAAAGAACAATATTTTGAGGGAACACCAGGGACCACAGAATAACATCATCTGTGTCTTCTTAAGGCTGATCGGAAGCTAATGAACTAATTTCAGTGCGTGTGTGTGTTGATAGAATCAAACATGATTTGGAAAGTACAGGGGCAGAAATACAGATGAGTAGGGTGGTGCCTACTCAGATTCAATGGTCAACTCACATTCGATCCCAGCCCCACATATGGTCTCCTCAGCCAGGAGTGGTCCCTGTGCACAGAGCCAGGAGTAAGCTCTGAGCACCTCTGGGGAAAAGGAAGAAAGGAAGAAACAGAAAGAAAGAAAGAAAGAAAGAAAGAAAGAAAGAAAGAAAGAAAGAAAGAGAGAGAGGAAGGAAGGAGGGAGGAGGGAAGGAGGGAGGGAGGGAGGGAGAAGGTGAGAGGGAAGAAAAAGGGAGAGAAGGTGGGAAGGAAAGGGAGGGAAGGAAGGAGGGAGGAAGGGATAAAAGGAGGATGGAAGGAAGGACAGAAGGAAAGAGTAGTGACTATATCATGAAATAAGAAATGATGATGGAGGAAGGGTGGGTGTAAGAATATGGAATTATCAGAGTGGTCCAGGTAGAATATGATGGTGATCTAAAACTGCGGTAGGAATTGTACCACTGACAAGCATTGGAAGCAGACAGTTTTTAGATTTATTTGGGTAAGCTAGAAGACTTTATACTACCTTGGACATGGTTGTGAACAAGCTATAGAGATAGTGAGACTGACCATGGACAGTGGAGGCACCAAGGATAATGGGGCCAGTGCTAGTAAAGCTCTGATTTGGAATAGAATTGAGACCACAAAAATAAACTTTCAGTCAATTGCTGAGGATCAAATTCAGGGCCTCATGCATACAGAACTAGTGTTTTACCACCGAGTCACATCCCTAGCCCTATTAAGGGTGCCAGGACCGGAGAGAGGAGGGGCTAAGGCAGTGGTCTTGCATGTAGCTGGTGCTGGTTAGGTCCCAGAGCCTCTTTAAGATCCCTCAGCACAGAGCCCAAAGTAAGACCTGAACACCGTTGGTGTGACCCCCCCAAACAAAACAAAAACAAGATAGGAGGAAATATGGGTCTGGGTCTAAAAGAGAGACTGGGGTAGAAATATAAAGTTTCAAAATACGGATGATAACTCAGGCCATGAACAAGGATGAGAGTATAGAGTGAAATAAGCATCAAACATTTTTTAACAGAATCCTCTGCTCCATGAGTCTATTGTTTTAATATGATGATGAAGTTAAAATGCAAATTACTTTTAGACAAATACTTTCCTATATTTATCATTACAAATAAAATGATGGAAACTTATAAATTGCACAATTAGCTCATTTTATGGAATAATTTGGGATGGAGCTATAGCACAGTGGGTAGGGCGTTTGCCTTGTACAGGGCCGACTCGGGTTCGATTCATCTGTCCCTCTCGAAGAGCCCAGCAATCTACCGAGAGTATCCCGCCCACACGGCAGAGCCTGACAAGCTCCCCATGGAGTATTCTATATGCCAAAAATAGTAACAAGTCTCACCATGGAGACCTTACTGGTGCCCACTCGAGCAAATCAATAAACAACGCGAGGACAGTGCAGTACTACAGTGCTATGGAATAATTAGCAAGCAATAGATCCCAGACAGAATATAATTCTAGAAGTACTTTCCTTAGAAGAAACTGATCCAATTAATTTAGGTGATCCTAATGAGGAATTGCAAAATTATTGGGAGAGTAAATCTTGGCATACTGCAGTACCAGTATAATTCATCACACAGTTTAATGGTAAATAGAACCAAACAATAGGAGAAATAATAATCAGTAGGCTAGTAAGTAGTTTACAGTGATACCAATTTGAGGGGTGACCAATCCAGGCAAGCCTGGTCAGAAAAGTGACATCTTTGCTAAAATCTGATGGGCAGAATGTCAGAAGCAAAAGAGAGAAGTGGGAGACATATAACAGAAAATGAAATAAGCCAAATATAATTACTAGTATAAGAAAGAGGCAGCTGGAAATCTGGAAAATGAACCGGGGATAGATTATGCTCTGTTACAAAGAATGCATTTGTTCTGACCGACAATGGCGCCCTGGAAAGGTCTAGAACAAAGGGGTAATATTAATAGGTGTATGCTTTGGGATTGGGTGGGGTG